GATACGTACCTAGAACAGGCAAATTCATAAAGACAGGCAGCAGACTAGAGGTCCCCAGGGCCTGGAGGGGTGGGGGGACGGGAGTTATGTTTAATGGGTACAGAGTTTCTGCCGGGAAGAGTGAGAAAGTTCTGGAGACGGAAGGAGGTGATGGCAGCCCAGCCGTGTGAATGGACTTACTGCCACTGACCTGGTCACAGTGGGAAATTTTATGTTGTGCATATTTCCCCACAGTAAAGTAACTAATAAGTAAGTAAAACAAAAAACTCCCCAAAGGTAAGAGTCGTGTTATTATCCTCATTTTTCACGGGGAAACTGAAGCTGAGAAGAGGTGATCCACCAGCCAAGGTCACACTGGCCACTGGACAGACAGCAGGTTGGACGGAGGCTCACACCATCAGGCCTCCGGAAGCAGGAAGCCAGGTTCCAGGCCACAAGAGGGAGAAGCAGAGCCCAAAAGCAGAGGACCCAAGGGTCGTAGCGGGGAAGCGGGGCAGGAGGAGCCAGGATGCGGCTCCCTGACCTGCCCCATCATCCCAGTGATCGGAGGCCCGACCTGGGTGCAGCCTCCACTCTGCCTCTCGTCAGCTGACTCGCCTCCAACGGTCCCTCATCCCTGCACTCTGCCCAGATCCCCAAGGCAACCCCCAATCCCCCAGGCAAAGCCCCGCCTCTGCGCCAAGCCTCACTCTCCTTGCAGCCCCGCCAAAGCCAGCTCAAGTTCCACCTCTCCAGAAAGCCTCCAAGATGACCCAGCCCTCGGCTGCCTGGCCAGAGACGACCTAAGTGCCATCTGTGACTTTCCAAAGATGTTCCTCCCACCTCTCCCTCAACCACGAGGCCGGAGAGAACAGAGACAAGGCCCCCAGCCGGGCCTGGGTCAGAACGGCAGGTGCTTGATGGGAACTGACGGACAGCTAACAGGCCACGAGGCCCCAGGAGATGAGGTGGCAAGGACAGGAGAGGCACAGAGACTTGGGAGACCCAAGAGCAACTCCAGGAGGGCAAGGGGCCCGGCAGGCGGGCAGAGGGGAAGGAAGGAAGGCCCAGAGCAAGCCAGAGCTGTCCTGGCCACCTGCACCCGGAGGGAGAGCGGGCCAGCCAGGGCCAGCCGGGAGAAGCTGTCCCACGTTCACCTCCCATCACCTGCCCACGGGGCCAGAGCAAGGCTGGACAAGAAGGTCAGAGCAACCAGCGCGGCAGTGCCAGGGAGAGGGTCACACCGTGACGGGGTGAAACCGGAGGCTGCCATGGGCCGGAGAGGGCTGGCATCCCTGGTCCACGAGCGTGGGAGGCTCGGCGCCAGTCTGTCCTGCACCCATGTGGCATCTGCATGTCTGCCTGGCCCTGGTCGGGGCACCCTGCTTGGGGTGTGCGGGGGCAGGCTGGGGGCCGGCCTGACCCTGTCCTCAGTGTCTCCAGGTCTCACATCCTCCTTGGACAGTCTGCTCTTCTTCCTGCCTGAGGCCGGCTGCCCCGTCGGGTGGGCCCACCTGGAAATCAGCTGAGGTCTTCGGATGTGGGGCGTGCGGGAGTAAGGACCAGGGCTCTGAGGGCTGAGGATGGTCTGGGGCTCCGAGGACGGCCTGAACGGGTCCTCAAGGGAGAAGGAGGAGATGGTGGGGGTGGGGGAGCAGCCTGCGGGAGATGAGGTCTGAGTCAGCTTGGTGGCTGGTCCCGTCCTGTGTCTGCCCCCTCAGCCCATCCCACACATGGGGCTGAGCTCAGAGCTATATATACCCCCCAGCTGGGCCACTCCACTCTGCCTGGAGCCCCTGTCACCTCCCTGCGAGGCCCTGCCTTGGCTCAGCCCCCGGGCCTGTAAGACAAGATGGGGACAGGGGTGGGCCTGCATCTGGGCCCCAGAAGGATGTGTACCATGGGGGACAGGTGCCGAGGGGGCTGGGCCAGTCACCAGACTCCGCAGAACAGCCTCCATCCTCCTGCCCAGAGCCTGACCCACCTGAGCCGGGGCCAAGCGGGAGGCAGGGCTGGCTTTGCGGAGGGCCACTCAGGGTGACAGGTGACGGCGCACACTGAGCCCCGCTCTCCCACCTGAGTGGCTCTGGGAGAAGCTCTCGATGTCTCTGAGCTTCTCTTTGCAACTGCAGAGGCTGTAGCCTCCCTCCCCTCCCACGGAGAGACGGGAGCCCATTGCCAAGAGGCTCGCAGCCTCGGGCCCTCTCCTCTCTTCCTCCTCTGCTGTGGTCTCCCAACCCCGGGCCCTCCTCGTCCCTCAGAACAGGGGAAGGAGAGCCACAGAGGACACCGTCAAGGCCAGGACAGTTTGCCAAACACCATTTCATCCCACTTCCCCCACCATGGCTCCTCTCCTGCCGCACGGAATTCCAACCCGGGGCCTGGAGGTGCTGGAAGTCACAGCCTTGCCTTTTCCAAACCCTGGTCCAGTCGCAAGCATCAGGTAACCAAGGATAAAGCCTCTTAACTCTGATACCTTTCTGTGTGAATATGGATAGAAATATTCACACCCTTAACGACTAAAAAAACTGAAGCATCCACCCAAATAAATGTCCATCAGCTGGGTGAACAGATAAACCCCGTGGGGTATCCATCCACACAACGGAATGTGATTCAGTCCTAAAGAGGAAGGAAGGTCTGACACCTGCTACGACGTGCAGGAACCGTGAGGACGTGATGCTCAGGAAAACAAGCCAGTCGCAAAAGGACACGTACCGTGCGGCTGCACTTCTGTGAGGTCCCTGGAGGAGTCATAGCCGTAGAGGCGGAAAGTGGTTGGTGGGGACCAGGGGCTGGGGGAGGGGCAGGTGGGAGTTAGTGTTCAATGGGGACAGAGTTTCCGTTTGGGAGGATGAGAAAGTTCTAGAGACGGATGGTGGTGATGGTTGAACAACAATGTGACTGCACTTAAGGCCACTGGATTGTATACTTGAAAGTGGTTAAAGCGGTATATTTTATGTTCTGAATTTTTTGCCACCACGTACAAAGGAACAGCTCTGAATCCACAGTCTGGCCCATGGTGGCCCTCCATGTTCTGTCCCTTCTGGACCTGGGATCCCCTTACCTCCCTCCCTATGCCGACGCCTCTCGCACACCTGTGTTTGCCAGACCATTTGTCCCTTTTAAGCAGGAAGATGAACCCTGAGAGGTGTCTGGGCACCAATCACGGCCCCACCCAGGGACCCTGGCAGCTCTCCAGCCACACCCCCGCACCTCCTCACCCTCACGCGCCCCCTTGTGACCTGCACCCACCCCGCCTCCCAAGCAGTGGGAAGCGCCCAGGACCCGGAGCTCCTCCCTCCCCAGCTCCACGGGGATAATCCCAGCCCAGCACCGGCAGGTACACGGCAGCTGTCTCCTCCATGAGGCTTCCACGGGGACCCAAAGTCAGAAGCAACCATTAGAGCCGGAAGTGGTTAGAGGGCGGCACGGGGGCCGACCCGGGGTGTGGAGGCTGCAGAAGTGGGGTCCCAGCAGAGTCACGGTGGCGGGGCTGGCAAGTCACCTGGCGACTGAGAGCAGACCTGGGGTCTGGCTCAAAAGGACTTTGCTTCTCCAACAAGAGAAAGGACCCTCTGGCCTTGTAGGGACGGGGTGGCTAAAGGACGAAGTAGGCGCTCCACCCTGGGCCGGTGACAAAGCAGATCTGAGTTTAGTCAGTTGAGCTGAGCTGCACAGTGTCCCCCAACATTCACGTCCACCCGGACCCTCAGAATGTGACCTTGTTTGGAAACAGGCCACATTCACAGACATCATGAGTTAAGATGAGGTCGTGCTGGATGGAGGTGGGCCCAAAATCCCAGTGACTGGCTCCCTATGAGGGAAGAGGGCCCAGAGACACGCAGAGAGGACGGCCATGTGACAACAGGGGCAGAGCCGGGAGGCACGCAGCCACAAGCTAAGGACACCGAGGGCTGCCAGCTGCCACCAGAAGCTGGGAGGCACAGAACACATCCTCCTCAGAGTCCCTGAGACAAGCCAGCCCTACAGACCCCTCAGGTTCAGGCTTCTACCTCGGGACCCGCGAGATGGTACATTTTCCCGGCATCGAGGCGCACCCTGGACGTGCAGTGATTTCTCACAGCAGTCCGAGGAGGTGAGTACCGTCGGCCCCCATGGGCCCTCACATGGTGGCCTCCAAACGGCTGACAAAGTATCTGTGCCAGGGGAGGGGAGGCCGGGGAGGGGGGCGCCGGTGGGGTGCACCTGTGAGGGGGGGTCTGAACGGAAGTCCCGCGGGGTGGGAACCTGGCCTGGGGCCATCTCTTGGGAGCAGGGCGAGACCCTCTGTTGTCAGCGGTTCCTGACAGTCACGGAGATGCCCCCCGGCTCCTGCCCAAGATGGCTGTTTCAAGCTGGGGGTCCTGGGGAACTTTGCAGTGGCAATGAAAGACGCCCGGGCCTTCCATCGGCTGCTCAGGGTTTGTGTTTCTTCCTCAGATGCTCTCTTCCGTCCAAAAGTCAACACAGCCCCAGGCAAACCACCTGGTCCTCTCACGGGACCGCTAGACACGCTGTCTCTGTCTGTCGCGCATCGCTGGCCTTCCCTGATCGCTCTCGGCTGGAGGGGACGCTGCCGTCTGCCTTGTGTGCAGGTGCATGTGTGCCACCCCCACCACACTGGGGTAGGGACTAGACCTGCTCTTCCCTGGCACTCAGAAGACTTACGAGTTCGGGAGTGAGGGAACAAGCCAGGACCACCTTCCTATCTGCCCTTCACACCAAGAGGAAGCTGGGAGAAGACCAGGCATTTGCCTGGGAGACGGCTGGTGGGATTTTCCCAGTCTGCCCTGGGGGGATGTTCTGTTTTTCCAGGTCTTGCACTACCACCTTCTCACCACCCTCCCCGCCCACCCATCCCCTGGGAGCCCAGGAAAGAGTTCAGGAGTGTCCACCTGGGAGAAGCCCCAAGAGGCCACCCCTCCATCACCTGGAGGGGACTGCGCGGCTATGCAGGGGCTGTTTCCAGGGCTGCACCATGAGATGGGGGGCCTGCTGCCCAGGCCCAGCAGACTCCTTACCGTACATCTTGCCCTCGTCCGACAGGATGATCTTGCGCCGACCGCAGGGCGGGTAGATGGCCAGGGCCTCCTGGAAGCTCTGCTCGATGTCAGGGCTCCACACGCCCTCCGCGTCATTGTCGATGGGCTTGTCCAGAGCCTGGCTGCCCCCAGAGACGTTGCTCCCCTCGGGGGAGTTGGGAGAGCTCCACTCGTTGGAGGTAATGGTGCCGGCCTTGCCCTCCAAGGCTCCGCTTGGAGGAGCGCCCGTTGGACCTGTTTGGGCAGAAACCATTGGTGGACACTGGTGGACGGGGGACCCCGGGAGTGCCACCCCAAGGACCAGGTGCCCAGAGGGAAAGGCCAGCGATCCCAGGGGACAGAGTGAGGTGGAAGGTCTAGGGGGTCGAGGGCAGGTCATCTCCCCCACCCCCGTAGCCCTCAACTTCCCACCCTGTCAAAGGAGCTCAGTGACCAAGAACTCTCTGACCACGACCCTAAGAACCCAGATGGGCTGAGAAGTCGGAGACAAGGACCAAGTGCAGGGATGGTCCACATTAAGCCAAAGAGGGGCCAAAGGATGCAGCATACTGTGCGCTGTTGCTGGAGCATAAAGTGGTGCAACCACTAGGGAAACAGTATGGAGGTCCCTCAGAAAATCAAAACTAGAACGACCCTGTGACCCAGCAGTTCTCCTTTGGGTGCACACCCGAAAGAACTGAAAGCAGGGTCTCAAAGAGACACTTGTGCACCCACGTTCACAGCAGCACGATCCACAACGGCCAGGAGCGGGGAGCAGCCCAAGCCTCCATGGACGGACAGTGGATAAACCAAACGTGGTGCCACATGCAGTGGGGTATGAGCTCGAAAAAGGAAGACAATTCTGACCCACGCCACAGCACGGATGAACCTGAGGACATTATCCTAAGTGACATAAGCCAGTCACAGAAGACAAATGCTGTGTGACTCCACGTATATGACGTACTAAGAGTCGCTGACGTCACAGAGACAGAACGTGGAATGGCGGTTACCAGGGGCTGGGGAGGAGCAGGCGCGAGGCGCTGTTTAATGGGTATGGAGCTTGGCTTCTGCAAGACGGAAAGGTTCCGGAGATCTGCTGAACAACAGTGTGAATATACTTCTTACACTACTGAGCTGTACACTCAAAAATGGCTAAGATGATAGATGGTGTGTGCTTTTTACCACAATCAAAAATTTAAATTAAAAGAAGCATGCAAAAACAAAACGCAGGCCACCAATTCTCCTAGTCCATCCCAGCTCGGGCTCTTTTTAGAGGAAGAGTCTAGCCCTGGCAGATTCTCACGTGTCGGGGCTACAGCAGGGCTGACCTCCTGGTACCTCCAGGTGACAATACAGCCCTGCCGTAGCCACCAGCATGTGACAAACCCAGCGACCTCTTGGCGCCAACTGTCCAAGCTGTGAATTTCTGGACACGATTCTCAGGGGTTTGGGAAGGAGGACATCCCAGTCATTTTAAGGCAGTTTTTGAGTTACGAGCACCAGATGGGAACCATTTATCTCCCAAGGCCCTCCCCAAGACCCCGGCAGCCCCGCTTTCCCGGCAACCGAGCACATCTGCAAGGGAGGACCTCTCCCCATCACACACGTCACCCCTTTTCTTCTCCCCCATTGGCCAGGAGGAACAGTGTGGTCCAGCAGCCCAAACCCAGGGCTAGGAGTCTAAATACCCACTTCCATCCAGGGCCCTTAGAGATAAGACCTTCCCAGAGCGCTCCTCACCCTCTCCCTCTTCCCCAGGCCTGTGAGAGGCACACCATTGCTCACAGACGGGTGGGTATGAGAGTGAGTGTGGTCAAGTTCACAGTGGAGGAGAAGATGTCGAGTGGGGGCCAGCACATCCTGGGAGGGTGTGGAGGTTCTAAGGAGCTGGGCCTGGGTGCTGGCACAGACGTGAGGGTGGAAGGAGGGTAGAACCACTGAAATTCCTCAAGGGAATTTGAATTCCCTTGAGGAAACCAATCCCCTCAGCTTGCTGATGAGGGCACAGACCAGAAAGGCCTAGGGACACACCTGAGGTCACGCAGCAGATCAGGACTACACCTGGGTGTCCGCCCTACAGGGTCCCGCGTCTTCTAGCAAAACAAGTGTGACTTCCTTTCTGTGGCTCTTAAAATAAATTTCCCTCGAAGTGTGTCTGAGGGGGTCACCTGATCTGGAAGAAACTAGCTTATTCTCCACCAGAAATTCTGGTCTTCATCCTACTGTGAACGTCAGAACATTTTTCTGTACCGTCCGAAACAAACTTCTGTCAAGAGTTTCTAACTTTAATTCCTGGCAATATGGTAGAAAAGAAGATTTTTAAAACTCTCATTCTATAAAAGAAATTTAGAAACAATAAAATTAAACATAAGAAATACACTTTTAAATGTATAGCTGAAAAAAAAAATGCATAGTAAAGTAAAAAAGCAAAGAGGCCCCCGAACGAGAGAGTTCTAAGCTGTAGCAATTACCCAGCGCGCTGTCACGACAGCTCCAGGACGGAGGGGGCGACGCCGGTCTTAGTAACGAGGCTTCTGGGTTTTAGCGGCCACCCACATGAGACCTTACACCTGAGAGACACCGGGGGTCGGAACTGAGGACAATATCTCAGTCCTCAGAGAAAAGGCAGACTATTGACAAAGTATGACAAGGAAGATTTGGCCCACACCCTAGGTACAAAAAAGAATTGTCTTTCCTAAGAATCTGTAGCCAAGGGCCTGCCCTTAAGTGGATTTGAGATTTGAGTTTTCTATTACTCAGGAGCCCAGGCTGAAAATCTCTGAAAAGACAGCCTTAACGCAGACTGCAGAGATCAAAATCCTCACTAAAGGATCTCAAAACCCAAAATGACAACATTTAAGTGAAAATAATCCACCATGATCAAGATTTAATGGGATTGGATCCCCAAGAACTATGATAATTGAACAATCTGGTAAAAACTATTACATAATTGTATTTAAAATGATTATTGACTTAAACAAGGAATTGGAAAGATGAGAATTAGACACTACCAAAAAATACAAAGCAGACTGGAAGAAGAACCAAATGAAATATTTAGAAATAAACATTTTAGTCACTGAAGTTAAAAACTCAATGTGGTAGCTCACAGTGAAAAAAAAAATGTGGCAATGAATATACGTATGTTCAGGTGTAACTGAAAAACTGTGCTCTACACTGGAATTTGACACAACATTGTAAGATGGCTATAACTCAATAAAAAAAAGTTAAAAAAAAACCCAATGGTTGAGAATAACAGCAATTAGACACAGCTAGAGAAAGAATTAATAACCTGGAAGATTATCTCAGGATATTACTCATTAACGCTTTAAAAAGAATGCAAATAAAGAGCAAGAGCACAATAAGGCAGTTCAACACACCTTCAACTAACATTTGAGAAAGAGAGAACATAGAAAATGAAGCAGAACAACAATTTAAAAAATAATGGCAGGGAATTTCCCAGGATTAAGGAAACACATGAACCCTCTGATTCAGGAACCATACCGAATCCTAACCAAGATAATTCACATAAAATAAACCCATATTATAGAGACACTGAAGAATACCAAAGACAGAAACTCCACCTTAAAGCGCAGGTTGCCAACAAGGGAAAGACTATCGCACTTACTGTGTACATTGACAATGAACTTCTCAACGAGCAGATCCAAGACAACACCTCCAAATTACGGAGAGAAGAGCAACTGTCAGCCTTGAATTAGACACCCAACCTAAGTATCATTCAAGGATGACCATTAAACACCTGAAACTAACATTGTAAATTGACTACACTTCAGTAAAAGGTAAGAATAAAAAATAAATAAATGAAAACAATTTTTAATTAAAAATTTTTAATGAGATTCCATAGAGAAAAAAAGAATGAACATTAAGTAAAATCACTTTCAGATAAAGATGGAGAGAATCCTGTAGTAACAGACCTTCACTGTGGGGGAAAAAAAATAGTAAAGGAGGTATCTGAAAAAAAAAAGGGACCTGGTATGAAAAGGTACTACATACATGGAAGAGTAATGAAGCAAGGTGACTTGCTTGTTATTTGTAAAAATAACAGTGAATCAGGGGCGAGGGGTGTAGCTAAGTTGGTAAAGCATGTGCTGAGCATGCACAAGGTACTTGGTTCAATTCCCAGTACCTCCATTTGATAAAGAAAAAAAAAAGAGTGAGTCTAAATACTAACTACATAAAAATAACAACAAAGACAACTAAGTTTGGCCGTGCAACACATACATACACACACATACGCCCTGAAAAATCTGAACCGTAAGTTCAGAAGATGCATTTGATACAATTCAAGACCCATACACAATAAAAACCTTTAGCAAACTCCTGGAAACAAAAGGAACTTCCTTCACCTGACAAAAGGTTTTTTCCAAAAACTTACTGGGATGTTATGATTTATAATAAGAAGTATATATTTGGTCTTTGTCCCGTTTCTGGCATAGAGCTCCCAAAACCCTTAATAGCCATAAAGGTATCATTTTATATGGGAATGAGGTGCGCCTGAGGATGGGGGCTGGCGGCCAGGAGAACCAACCAAGTGATCAGAGGGAGGAACTTTCAGCCCCACCCACCCAAACTCCGGGGAGGGGAGAGGGGCGGGAGGTTGAGTTAATCACCAGTGAGCCACGATTTAATCAATCATGCCCTCATAATGAAGCCTCCATTACAACAGGAAAGGAGAAGGTTCTGAGAGCTTCTGAGCTGATGAACACGTGAAGATTTGGGGAGAAGCTCTGTGCATCTCTTCCATCTGGCTGTTTCTGAGTTACACCCTTCTACAGTAAACCAGTAATCCAATAAATACAACGTTTCTCTGAGTCCTGTGAACCATTCCAGCAAATTAACTGAACCCAAGGAGGGGTCACTGGGATCTCCGATCTGTGGCCGGTGATAACCTGAGCTTGCAGAGGGTGGGGCAGGTCTCGTGGGACTGAGCCCTCAACCTGTGGGGTCTCATGCTGTCTCCCAGGAGGTAATGTTAGAACTCAGTTGAACTGTAGGATACCCAGCTAGCGTTGAACACTTGCTGGTTGGTAAGGGGTTAAAAACTGGTGGAACTGGTGGCCAGAACTTTTAATGATTAAACACTAAAAGCATTGCATTTAAAGCCAGGAATAAGCTAAAGAATGCTCACTCTTAACACTTCCACTCACGCTGCAATGGAAGTCCTGGCCAACACGGTAGAACAACAATAAGAAAAGAGATCCGAAGGTTAGAAAGGACGTCAAACTGTCACTATTCCG